GCGTGCTTGTGCTGCTTGGCACCTTGCACCACGTTTTCTGGGCGCTCCGTGTTTGTGCTGAGGAGTTCTGTGGTGGCTTGGGCTCCTGGGTACTGTCATATGAATATTTTATAATAATTCAGTTGTTCAAGCTTACTGCAAGCTGCAAGGTATGACACAGCATTAGAAAAACAAATTACTTGGCCATTTTCAGGGCCATACTTCCGAAAGGCAACAATAAAGGTCTGGGTACAAAAGTGTGCTTGCAAATCTCTGTGTATTTACTTCTGTCTATCATACAATCACGTTATTTATCAAACACTGGTTTGAAAAAATACTGTAGAGCAACAGGCAATATAGAGTCCTGTTAGTATGGCTACAACATCTTATTAGAACGAATGGTACCTTCAGGGAATAAAGAATGTAAACAGACAGCGTTTCAGAGAGAAACATTCAACCATATATTATTAACACAAGAAGTAACAAACAGGCAGCACTGTAGCAGTGTTATACACCAAAATGCTGTTTCTGGGAAGCCTGAGCTGTGCTCTCACAGCTTTTGTGTCACTGGAGTCTCTCGGTGGAGTTACTTTCTCATATTTATTCTTGCCGTATTAATGCCAGTTGTGTTTCTGCTGGATAGCAGCTGTCTGAGGAGAAGGCTGAGCCTGAAGCGCGGTGCAGCTTCACTCCAGGCTCCTGGGCTGCCGCTCGTCGTGCTGTGGAGATAGGTCCGGACCACAGGGCCTGGCCTTCCCATCGCTCGTTCTACACAGATAAGAAGGTGAAGGCCATGCGAGCACAGGACAGATAAAATAATCCTCTCTGTTCTCAGAGTTCCCAGAGGAAAGCAAGAGCCGTTTTAAGGATGCTCCTCGGCGAGGCCTGCGCCGTGGCGACGCTTGTCACTGTGGCATTTCCAGCCACGGGGGTGTCCAGACGCGGGAGGCAGGTCTGTCTGGCCCAGAGGCTCGTGATGCTGAGTAGGAGCTCCAAGAAAACGTCAGGGAGAGCTCTGGGGAGGGAGGCGCCACCAAATATGGAATTTTATTTTCCATCGGTCGGTGAAAACAGCTCCCCAGTCCAGTCGAAAACTTTTTCCCAGACTGGCTGCTGAACTTAGGAGGAGGAGAGATTTTTCAGTAGGCTGGATGTGGGGGAGGGTGTTGCTTTTTAAATCAATGGAGATAGCAGAAACCCCACTGTAAATTTCTAGGGCAAGTGGCAGGCTGGTTTACGGAATGCAGGGAGATGAGAACCTCTGGCTTACGGAAAGCAGCATGAATTAATAATCATTTAATTGGCTTCTCCATTATGTTGCTGGGTTGGGAGATGGAAGTTTAGATGAAGGGGCTGTCAGTGGTACTTTAGCTGAAAGAATCTGATGGCTGGGTGCTGGGGGTGGTGACTCCCTGTCCACCAGGATCGAGAGCAGTCAGCTTTTTGGGACACTTACATTTTTACCTCTGGACCTTGCAAAAGAAAGGATCTCATTTCATCTATGAAATAACACCTGGGAGGTTTTCTCTGCTGAAAGGCAGAGGTTCCTGAGGAAGCATGGGAAGAGTAGGCTCTGTGGAGTGCCCCGGTGGGGCAGTGTGCTTGCAGCAGCACTGTCCTGCTGCACTTGGCTTTCAAGTGCATTTGTTGAGAAATGCAGATTTTCTTCTGAGGTCAGCCAGTCTGAGCTAAATCCACTCAAAGAGTCAAAAGAATAAAAGTACTAGTTGGTAAATTGTCACACATCATACCTTAAGCACAAATTCCTTCTTTGCTGCAAGGCCTTTACCTGTAAGCCTCATCTCACACAATTAGGGCACAGACACCGTGCTCCACCTTCTCCAGTGCTGAGCTGCGGTTGGAGGCAAAGCCTTTTTGACATCCTCAGTCCGGGACATTTGGTCCATCCAGTCCACTGCAGGCAGGGGTGCAAAGGCCCCACACAGCTGCCGGCGAGCTGGCAGGCAGCCGCAGCGCGTCTGCAGAGCGGGTGGGAGCAGCGTGTCCTCGTTTCTCCAGATAGAAGAGAGTTCTTAATTCCTCTGATCTGTGATGTGGACTGAATGTGTCACTTAGTGTATTTGGCTGTTTATCAACAGTAAACTTTGGTCTCGGAGTTAAAATTCCCATTTGAGCTGTCAACTCAAAAAATCATACTTAGAAGGAATATTCAGTATGTGTTTTTCAGAACAAAACAGTTTTTCTGGGGGCTGGACAATCATTTATAATTCTGATTTTGAAGGATTAAAGTTATGGGACGGATGAAGTGCACTTAGTAAAAGTGGGCACTTTGGAGACAGAAAATAAAAGTAAATTTTAACTGCCTTTTACTTTTCCCTAATTCTAAGCAGGCTGTTTCCCAGCAGGAAGGAAATAGGAAAATACAGTCATGATTTTAGAGGTTATAGGTAGTGTTCAGCAACTACAGGGTAATTGTCTGCAGTTGGGTTACTAAATTTAGTGACTGCACCTGAAAACATCACATCAGTGAGTTGCTAGAAATGGTGCACAATGAAGCTGGTGGCACAGAATAAGGACAAGGGGCTCCCTGAGCTCCTTGTACCTTGCTGTGCACTACACAGGTCCTAGCGCTGATGGGGCCACCAGAGGTTTTGTAAGTTGCCAAAGCTTGAGCCTTAGGAGGTCAGATTTTTTTTAATGCAGTTTTGCAGTTTTCTAGTGGTTCTCACTCCATTTCCAAAACTGGGAGTGTTTTCATCCTTTATTTGGGAAGGTTACCCATATACGTTACCAGAGATTTCTCCTGTCATCCCTTGTGTCCCCTGCCGCTGCTGCAGAGCTGTTGGTGCTAGCACGGCTCACTGCAGCACTTTTGGCACCAAGGGTTTGAAGTGGCATTTGACGTATAAAAAGCTCAGAGAGACATGCCCATAGCACATAGGAGACACAAGTGCTCTAGCACCAGCCTGATGTGGGGCAGGAGCAGAGCTCCCGTGGCTGCGTGCCGGCAGGCCCCGGGTCTCCGTGTGCTGGTCCCAACACCCAGCTGCCTGGTGGGGGCTGGCGTGTCCCTGTTCGAGGTCCCCCCAGGAGCAGACAAGGTCAGCAGCAGCAGCAGCAGCAGCTGACCGCCTTACTGGGGCCACTCATATCATGCAGAGCTCAGGCAGGGCATGTAAAGCAGGGTGGTCCACGGCCAGACACGGAGCTGGCTTGTGGCAATGGCCTCTGCCTTCCTTGACGGGTCTGGGGTGGAGCTGTGTTTTTCACACTCCAAGGATATTTTTATTAGTAGGAAGCAAAGAAGGCCGGTTTGGGTTCTGTAGACATTTTCAGTGACTTTTCAGTTCTCAGCCCCATGAAAGTTTCGGGCTCAGCCAGCAGATTTGACCTGAATGAAAGCCTGTCATTCTGCACAGAGAGCAGAGTAGGATCTGCGTTACAGCATCCATAAGTCCTTGCATCACAGGCTTGATTTACACAAAGAAACCCAAGGTTTGGACTTTTTAACAGAATTGGCAACACAGTGGGGTCCTGTGCTTTTGGTTTCAGACATTGCCCAGGTTTGCGGCTGCATGGTGGCTGTGTAACAAGGCAGGGATGAAATACCAAGCATGCAGCACCACAGAACTCCAGGGAAGGAAATCACTGCTAAGCAGGCTTTGGCATGGCCAAGTCTTCTAGGAGAAATTGAGTATTACTAGAGCTCCTCCTCTCCCTGCCTCCCTCTAACGATGTTGTTATCCACGTGCAGTACCTGTCTTTTGTTTCCTGGAAGTTAGTTTGCTTCTATTTGACTGAACATTTAGAGGTGAGGTCTGGCAGGGGAGGAGGTTAGAAATGTGAATGTGTATTTCTTACTGTGATGTGGTACCTTCTGAAATAAATCTTGTGTCAGAAAATGGAAGGATCTTTGGGAAGGAAGCAGTTTAACAGGATTTTACTCAGGCTGCATCTTCTGAAACAAGGTGCAGATACCAGTGAGTTCACAAAGAGAATAAGAGAAAGGGAGAAGAGTATGGGGGGACTGGTCTAAGAATGCTACAGTGCCTTGTTAATCGGCAGCCAATCCATCATATTAAATATCCAGCTGTCATATATTACCTTTCAAGTGAAAATGAATAACTCCCATTAAGGGCGAAATGGGTTTGAAGTCGATTCGAGACAGATTAAAGTACTGTTATGAATGTGTGTTCAGGGAGGAGGAGACGGGGGCTGTGTATAATATACTTGTCCTTACAGTTTTTAAATAATAGATGTCCCACAAATTTATGTACTCCAGGCTACCAGGGTTCGGGGGAGGGGTAAAGGTCAGGGATGTGTGTTCTCGGAGTGCCTCAACTTGCAAAGTGTTTTTATGTTGACTTCTGGGCTCCTTTGCCTCTTTTTGTTTTGCTCAAATCCAGTGGCCTTTCCTCAGCTGGTTGCAGCATGTCGTTGTCCGGATCCTGTCCTGCCCTGGCTGCAGGCTGGGTCCTGCTGGCAGTCTGCCGCGGGGACCGCTCGCTAGGGAGTACCTTCAGACGAGTGCATGGGCCGAGCTAGCCAGTGCTGTCCTTCTGGGACAACATGCCACCACGTCCACCATGGACTGCAAGGCCATTGTGTCGACAGCCACAGCAAACACTTCCCAGACTGTTTATATGCAAAACTTCAGGTGTTCAGAGCTAGGAGCGTGAATTTTGCTTTGTCTCATCTGTCTGACTGTTCATGGAAATGACACATCAGCCTTCACATCTGGTCAAGCATTTGTGTGTCAGATGTAAACACGGGAAAAATCTCTTCTGTGCCTAACAGGCTGTAAGCAACCCACATAAGTAGCTGTGATTTCTCTGCTTCTAGCTGTAAATTACACAGTTCCCTTTCTGTGGAAGATAATCAAGAAGGAACTTTTTTTGTCCAGGCATGCTTTGTAGGATATAAGTTAGTGCACATACTCATTTTCCCCCAGCTCTGTGGCTTGTGTTTCAAGAAAGAGAAGCAGTGTAAGTGGAAATGCTGTCTTCATCCAACTTAAGCCTCTTTGGGGATGTCCTGATGTAAATCTCTTCTTGTTGCAGCACCAGCCAGCCAGGCAGAGAAGGAGCTGACGGAGCCTCCAGCATCCTCTAAACGAATATCATTTCCCAGCAGCTCTGAGTCACCTCTCTCCTTTAAATGGTCAAAAACTTCAGAGGAGACCAAATCAGAGCAGGTAAGAAAGAAGAACACAGCTTTTTGTGCATCTACAAGTAGGCAATTTGTTTTGTATGTGCCAAAAGCAAAGAATAAAAGAAAAGAAGGAGGGTGAAAGGTGATAACTGGCTGTAGGAGAAGGCATCAAATTCTTGAAATCTAATGGAAGGAGGAAAGCAGCTGCCGTAACAATTGCACAATTCCTTGTCTTGTTCTGCAGATGTACCAGTGCCCATACTGCAAGTACAGTAACACCGATGTGAATCGGCTGCGGGTGCACGCCATGACCCAGCACTCAGTGCAGCCCATGCTCCGCTGCCCGCTCTGCCAGGACATGCTGAACAACAAGATCCATCTGCAGCTGCACCTCACTCATCTGCACAGTGTGTCCCCTGACTGCGTTGAGAAGCTCATCATGACGGTAAGTCGCTGCGTAGTGAAGCATGTCTGCTGCCTTCCTAGGAAATATGAGGAGTGAAGGCATGGCCTGACCTGCACAGGCTAAGTTCGCTGTAGTGGGCCGCTGTGGGCAGCTCCCTCATCTGTCTGCACTCTGTCATTTATTTTTTTCCCATCCCTGCACGTTTCATCTCCAGAGTTTAGCTTGTCTGTGCGTGAGCACTGTGGAAACTGGCAATAATGGAGTGCTGAGTAATTTCCTTGTGAAGAGATTGAAATAAACATGATTTCCTTTAGCTACTGACATCGTTGCATGGGACTGCATTTTGCACAGAAGCTTCTGGGAGATGCAGCAGCTGATGCGCTGTGCTGGTCCAGTTGCAGAGAAAGAAGGTGCTCATTTGTTGATTAGCACTTCTGAGGACAGCCAGGGTGATTAAGGTAACATTACAGGAAATTAGGTATCAGGTTTCTGCTTAAAATATGATTTTAAGAACCAATAGAGTAGCTTCCCTTGGCACTTTCACATTGTGCTGGGGAGATAGTCCTGTTGTGCAGCCCATGTTCTGCACTTTGTTCACTTAATGAGGATCATTGTTACGGTCACATGAGATAGACTGAATCTGTTATTCCAGTGAGAAATCACTCCATCCAAAATGGCAATGCTTTTGTTCTGTAACAAGTCACTTCGTTCAGGGTAACAAGCAAGGGATGCATCAATGCTGACCCAAGGAAGGTGAAACCTTGGGGTATTGTTGAATATTACAGCTACTGGGGTATTGTTGAATATTACAGCTACTGTTTCAAGTGCCATCTTTAAAATGTTTTGAAATACCTGGTTTTAAACTAAAATTTAAGAATACGCAGTTAAAATTCTCTGAAGTAGGACGTTACGCCACCGAAGTGTGGAGTGAAAGACCACTGAATAAAGTTAACTGTCTTCATATAGATCTCAAAATCTGTAACAACTCCGCTTCTAGAAGTTTGTCAAACAACATTGTGCCTGGGGGAGGTTGTGATTGTTACTGCTAGTGCAGCTTCTGACATGGAGCGGAAACTTCAGACAACACATTGTGGTTCAGCACTAACATGTTTGCATGAAGCTTTTGTTGCCCTGTGTCATTATTTTAGCATCTAGCTTGGGAATCCTTCTTCAGTGCTGTCTCTGAGAGACCAAAATTTGGCTTAAGAGCTAGTACTTGGTGAACAGTAGTAAATCTGCAGTGCAGCGTTCAAGTTGCCATTTGTGAGAACTGGTTTTGTGCTCTGGCTTGTTTTACCTCAGCACTGCTGACGGAGGATCTCTCTCAGGTACTGGTGCACACATGGGATAGTATGAATAATTGCCAAACCTCTTCTGTAAGACCTGTACATACCATCACGACACAGACATGCTCGTAAAAGGCTTACCACATTCTCCAGCACTGATGTGCTTGCTCCAGTAAATAATATTTTGAGTCCCAAAATGTCTCTTTCATGAATTCCTTTTTCATGGGTTTCACATGAGTGTGCCTTTCCATTTGTTAGTGTCAGTCTAAGATACAGGTAGAATTAATAAGGCACATTTTCAAAAACCCTTCTAAATTCACAAATCAGATGTATTGTCAGTTTTCTACACTTTTTTTGTTGTTGTTGTTATAATCTTCAAGGCAAGGTTGTGTCTGCATTTAAGAACTTGTTGCCAAGTATAAGAAGTGTTTATTTTAATTCCTGACAGTTCTTCCTCTTTGTGATTATTTTTTCCTGAACCCCATTTCTGCCTGTTTTTCCCTTCTTTGCTGATTCCTGATCATGGAGGACAATAATATGTTTGTCACACTACTCATTTTCTTGTCAGCTCCCCTTCTGTAGCATCGTCTGAGCAAGCACATGCAGTGTTACCCAGTTTTTCTGTTACCGTTCTTTGCTCTTCTCTTTCTATCACCCTTCCAGTCCTCTTGTGTCTCCTTCTTAAACACCTTTGTGCTTTTCATCTTCCCTCTTTGCTTTATGAGTTACCTGTCCTTTCATTTTTCTGCCCTTTGTCTTTGGCCTGTCATGCTCTGCAGGAGCCGAAGATGCAGCCAAAGATGCATGCCGAAGGTTGCAGTGGCCACTGTCTGACCAAGCACTTGCAGCTGCCCGGAAGAGCTTTGTGTACCCAAGTGGGCAGTACAGCTGAAAACATGTAAAAATCCAGCCAAGCTGACAGATCCCATCACTCTCTGAATAACAAAATATTCAGAGATTTTCTGAGAAAAGAGCAACAGCAGCTCACTAACACTTAAAAGCTGGCCATACTCATAGGCTCGAGTACGGGTGAAGCCCTGCTCTGCTGGCCGACTACATGCATCTAGGTTAAGTAACTGTCCTGTCACAAAGGCCCGGGCCTCTGAGACCTACCTCTGTTTTAACTGATGGTGCTTAAGTGTGCAAGTAGCTTCTGAGAATTCGATCAAATCTTGTTAGCTTCTTACTAAATTGATGGAAGGCATTCTGACCTTATAAAAGCGGTAAAAAGAAGCTGATCGCCTTTCCCATGCCAGCACACGCAACCGGTTTGCTTAAGGGTATGCACGGTACTGGTATGCAGATGGTTTGTTTGAGTCAGGCTGTCTGCAGAGCTCACAGTCCAGAAACTGGCACAGTTGAACTAGTGCAACCACTTCACCTACACAGATGTATGTCCTCCAGGGTCCAGAGAGACCGACAGAAGTCACTTGTTCAGGAGCTTAGGGGCACCTCCCAGAGGACATGACCAAAACAACTGCTGTAGTATGAAGGACAGTTTTCTTAGGTCATTGCATCTTCTGTGCTGGAGTGGGACCTCCTGCTGCTGCTGCAGCATGCAGAACTTCTATTGAGAAATGTGGAGTTTGGCTTATCCGTGGAGCTCACCATCTCACTTGTTCCTTTTTTATTCCATCTTGCCACTGCCCTCAGCCCTGGGTAGCTGTTTGCTTTGGTACCCAGAGTTATGTCTGGGTAGGAAGACTGCCCCTCCTGCCTCAAATCAAGTTGCGTGTGGGGCAAGAAGATGGCTCTTCTTTGTATTACATGACAAATATTTGGTGAAATCAGTACAGCTTGTGCAGAATGTGGCAGCATCAAATGTTCCTAATTTTGCGTATTCTAGATTCTTGTCTCAGCCTGACATGGGAATTGGGTCTTGGTGCCACTGAGAGTGAATTGGAGCCCAGTAAATGGGAGCCAGGTCCCTTTCGACACAGTGTCTTTGCACTCGGCATTTGGAGGAGGCTCCAGTTAATAATACCTTATCAGACGCCTTTCAGGAACCTGCAGTGTCTAATATGTCTGTTGCCATGGAAACGGCTGCTTGCTTATGCTCAGCATCTCATATCTGTGTGGTTCGTGCCCCTTCCTTTTCATATCAACAAGCAGCCCCGATGGCTGTCCCATGGGGAGCAGCCGCAGCTCGGGGAGCGGGTCCTCCCGCCAGCCCTGCCACTGGGGCAGGGCCCGGCAGGGCTCCAGTGATCCCCCACGAGGCAGGGGGCCAGGGAAGGCCCTGGTGGGGCAGGGGCTGCTGCTTGGCACCGTGCTGCAGGCTGCTCTCGCCTGTCCCTCCCCATCTCCTGCTGCCGATTCACAGGGCCGGCGAACAAACGAGGCCAAGTTTGTTTATGTGGCGTTGCAGCCGCTCCGAACAGGTCCGATCGCCATCTTCCCACGTAGCAGCCTCTTCGCTAGTCCTGGGCCCGCGCCGCTTCAGCAGAGAGCCCCTTAATGAGGGTGAAGTGCAGTTCGCCTGCATAGTCGATTGACAAGACTGATGGGCTCAAACCAGGAGAAGGGACGGCTTCCCAAGAGCCTCCGGTGGCGGGAGCGCTCCCTCCTCCCCCTGCCTCCTTTATCGTTCTGCACATTCCTCTCTCATCATTTCTGTTGTCAGTTTTCTCTTCCTCGGTTTAAGGCGTCTTCTCGGCTGCCTTTTCATCTTCTTCTCTTCTCCCTTGCTTTAAGAGTAATTCTTTCCCATCCCTGCCATCCCCACTTCTCCCTCGTGCTATCTGTACATTTTTTCCTCTTTCCTATTGTCTTTTCTTATTGCTCTCCCTTCTGCTGTCATTCAATTTTTCTCTCTCCCTCCTTCTCGCCCCCTCTTACTCCCCCCTTTCCCTCTCACTCTGTGTCTCATTCTCCATCTCGGATGAAGGTAATGAAAATAATCGGGCTTCATTAATTCTGAGCCCTGTGAGATGATAGCCATTTGGAGCCATGTTTGCCAATTAGATGGTCTAAATTAGAAGTGACCTTGGTATACTGCCATCGCTTTGCCTCTCTGAGTCTAATGAAGCTTTTCACTCCAGCACCCTCTCTCTCTCTTTGTAATGGAAATTACCTCCTTTGTCTGGTTCGGGAACCTTGCATCGCATGTGTATTTCCCCCTAGGTTGCATGGACATAGGGATAGTAATGTATCTCCTCAGACCCCTTCTGGAGATTTTCTTTTCAAAGCCACACGATTTCAGCACTCTTGGGCCATTTACAGAGGAACCACATGGACTGTCCACATATTGTCTCACTTTGTCCTGAGGAAAGTAAGGGAAGGCAGATCCAGTGTGTAAAGGGAGCTGGTTATTCACGCCATCCAAAGATTAATTTTTTGGACGTGACAAGAATATGCCTGTGTCACGCTGCTGGGGCCAGTGCAGGAGTGATGCAGCTCTGAGCCTCAGGCCTGTGCCGCTAAGCTGCTCTGCAGTTCATTGTCTTAAAAATACCGTAGATGCGGTTGTAGCAGGAGGCATGCTTGTCACTGCTGGCAGTTGCCACCTGTGAGGAATGAACTTGCATTTTGTTCCCCAAACCAGTGACAGGTTGGTCTTCTGCTGATGGCACGTGTCAGAGCATATGCCATCTGCTGAAGGCGTTCATGAGACCAGGAGGAAGCAGACACAGTGTGTCCATCCTTGTTGGTTTTTTGTTTTGTTTGTTTTTGTGAAAAGTCACTGGACTTCATTATTTAAAGAACAGGACATCGATTTGGGGTTTCCAAGCATGTAGGTAGATCTCTTCACCCAAGGAACTTTATCTTCTCAAAGGGACCTGAATTTCATCTGAAGGGTGGGGTTCTTGGAGGCACAGTTGTTTGTTCCAACAACCATCCACCCTCTGAGGCAGGTAACTGCCTTCTCTGCAGCAAAGTCCTCGGGCCAGCACTCCCAAGCCCAGTGCAAGCTGCAAGGAGATGTTTTGGGAGGGGGGACGGGTTCCCTGGTTTGGCGAATGGGGCAGGGACTTGGTTGGCTCTGTGCTGCTGTCAGAGGCAGCGCTCAGAGCAAATGCTTGCTCAGCATCAGGGCTTCTGCGCCTTCCTGGGGGTACCCCTCCAGCTGTGCAAGTGCTGATAAACAGGACCCAATCGTTATATCTGTATCCAGTCACTGGGCTGTCAGAAAGAGCAGATAAGGGTGAGCCACTGATCCTTCCCCATCCCTCAGTTTCATTTGGTCAGAAAGATGAAGGAGTGATGCAGTCTGAGGGGACCGTTTGCGTTCCGTGCGGTCACACTGCTCGGCCTGGGCGAGACGGGGGCTGCACAAGCAGGCGGTGCGGGCCGAGCGCTGCGGGGCCGTGCGTGGACGTGGATTATAACACCTGGCTGCGAGGGAAAGCTGGAAAGCTTTGATGGTGGCTTGTGGACCAGAATATCATGGCTGCAGCTGCAAAGGGAATACAGTTTAATATTAAACGGAGCAAAAAGAGTATGTACAGGTGGAAAGGAAGAAGACAAATCACATTCGTCTCAGTTACATTTGTAGGATTGGTTTTTTAGTAACAGTTCAAATTGGCTGACTTGTTGCTGTTGTGAAACAGTTGGTCTTGAAGAGAAATTTAAGCCCAGAGATGCAGGCTTAGAGCAGTCAAGGATGGGTGCCAGGATTACATCCCAGGTATTGCCTGCTCAGGTGAGAGGGAGGTAGAGAGCACTTAACGACTGTACGAGCTAACACAGACTGTGCTCAAGGTAAACACGTTCCTCTCTATCACCAGAACAGTTAATGCCGTTTAAATACATCTGAAGTACAAAATGCTGTGTTTTAGAGCACCACTCCTCGTTTATCTGTCAGGTGACCATGCCCTCCTAAACCTTCCTGTTGCCTCAGTACTCCTGTTATTTGTTTATATTAAAAGCAGCAACAAGATGGGAGGCATTTTCTGCAGATACAAGGAAGCATATACAAGGTATATACTCCAACAGGTTTGCAGTGTAAAAGGGCAAATAGTTCAAAGCTGGGAGTCTGGAATTCAGTATAAATGCAAAACAATTTGAGATGAGCAGCCCATTTTCTCTGTTCTTTGTCTCTGCTCTCTGCTTGGCTGGTGGACCGTGAGGATGAAGAAACAGTCATCCTGCCCAGGAAGCGGCACGGAAGAGAGGGGCAGCACTTCCAGGAGAAACCTGCGTGGTGCTGAATGGGTACAGAATGAAAGCAGGGTCCAGATCAGTTGCCCTATTTTCAAGGTTGTGCTTCGCAGGGGTAGCCCTGTATGGCTGTCTGGACTGCCTGCTGTTGCCCTATATCCATACCCAGAATTTCTAGTTTCCCATACTTTTCTCCAAGCCTTTTTCTTTTTGCCTTTTGGGATTTTGTGTCTGTAGCAACTTAATGTACCACAGTCATAGTTTTTTTTTTCGTTTTGTGGGGGGGGGGGGGTAGAAGTAGGTTGAGAACTGTGGCTGTGGAGATGCAGGTAGATAAAGGTAATTACTTAAACACATATAGGGCAGGACTTATTGGTTTGGAGACCCAGATTAAGATGCAGAGGAGCATGTGAGGTTGATGATTATATTTCGGGGAGAGTTAATTGACGGAAGGTGAAGGCAGACAAAGAACCGCTGCTTACTGCCTTCTTGAATCCCAATCAGGAATTATGATTAAAGACGCGGCGAGACAACAGAGGCCTGATGAATTGGTGTCTTTTTTTTTTCTTTTTTGCCGTCATTCACACTTGATTGACTTCAACCTTTCAAGTGCAAAAGTCTCTCTTTTCCATTATTATTCATAGCCATCTGAGTTTTTCTAATTAAAGTGTATGAAAACAATTACTGATCCGTCGTACTGAGTCTGGTAGTGGGGATGGCTGCCTTACTGTAATGCGTATAAAAAGACCACAGTTTTCTATAATGATGTGCAGCTGAGGTGTTAGATAATTTTATTCTTTTTCTACTCTGTTGGGGTTTTTTTTAATTTCTCGTGATTTATTTTTCATAATTCCTAAAGATCCTAGGAAAGCACTCTCCCTGCTGACAAGGCTGAGAGGGACAGTTCCTTCATGCCTTTCCTCCTCAGCATCCCTGCCCGGCCCCCTCCTCAGAGCCCCACCACTGTGAATGAACCAGTGACCTTTCTCATCTCCTGACCACCCATAGCCGTCAGATGCTCCTGGTTAAAGTAGAAGGTGGAACGAATTTGCTGTGCTCAGCTTCCTTCCTCGTGATTTATCAGTGTCAGCTGCCTCTCCTGCAGATGTCTGTAGGACTCGGTGCTTACCTTCGTGCACCTGCCCTCCACGTAAACCAAGGTAGCTCAGCATCTCCCTTTGGTACAGTTTGGATGTCTGCAGCCACTCATGTGAACCTTTGTTTCTGAGCTGCTTTTGCTTTCATTCACTTAAACCAAGGTCTAGTCTGTGTCAGTTTGGATTTGACATGTGTGTCGATAAAGAAGGTTTCATGTCCTGCACAGAGGCTTACAGGGTTTCAGCTGCAGCTTCACCATGGATTTGTTAATATCTCATGCAGTTCGGCCAGAGTCGTGGTCCCTGACTTTGCAGAAAGCAAGCTATCATGCGTGCAGGTAACAGCCTCACTCACGCTCTTCTGAAATCCACGGTTCAGATGCCCTCTTAGTGTCTGGCAGAAGGACAGAGAGGCTTGTTTTGCTTAGGAACATACCTGTCTAGGAGTGCTTGTTTCTGTGTCACTCTTGCAGCAGTCAGAGGTTGGGAGCACAAGCACTGTAAGCATTGCAAGTCAGCGTTGGTTTCTGTTTCTCCAAGTGCCATCACGCTGGTGAGAGGGCACGCTCCTTGAGCACCAGCAGCAGGGGAGCAGGCGGAGCTGTGGGGGTGCCTTTGCTTGCCGCAGGCACGTAACCAGTTCTGGCACCATGCGCTTGAATACAGCACGAATGGTCACAGTGACACGGGTTTGTCTGAGACAACTGTGGGGCAGCTTTTCAGTTGTTGTGAGATACTGACCATGAAGGTTAAAAGGGCATTCCTTGTCCCACATCCGATAACAGCCACACACAGCCTGCTAGCTAGGTGGTTTGTACTTGGTGTGTATGACTGGATAAACTCAAAGAAGCGTGGTTTTCCAGAAAAAGATGAGTGTAAGCATTTGACTCTTTCAAGGAGCATCTCTAGCTGAAGCACACAAAATCTCCAGCTCTTCAAAAATGTTGGTACTCAAGTACTGCAGTGGTAATGATGGTGCAGGTTCTAGACAAACACTTGAAGAGAGGCGAAGGAAACACAGCAGTCAGAGCAAGGAAAGGGTTACCAATAGCTTTTCATTTCACAGACAATTTGCTGTCTTTTTAGTCTTTCCTTATTCATCCTTTCCTTTGTCACCTCTCTCCTTATTTGTACTTTTCTTTCTCATGCCCCTCCTTTTCCTGCATCGATACACTTTGAAAACAGTGCTGCAATGCTCCCTAGTTCAAGATTACAGTGTACTTTACGAGGTATGATTTAATTAGGGGCCTTATTATGTTTTCAGCAGCTTAAGGTGGGCCTTTCAACTTATCTACCTAATTGGTTGCACAAGAAGTTTCACAGCCCATGACAAAACATTGTCAGTGATCAAAGTCTGAATTCTACATAAAGGAAAAATATTAATAATAAGATTATTCTTCAAGTGTGCACTGCTAATTATGTCCAGAATGTAACTGTAGAAACACTTTTGACTGATGTGAGCTTTGTCTAATAAACATGAGTCTTCAGTGAGCTATGAAAAGTGACGCCTCTGACTTTACAATACTGGTGTCTAATTTTGCTACTGAAGATGTTAAAAATATTTCCTTGTGCTTTTCTTTTCCCTACATCCCTACTTCCCCGTCTCCAGGTGACAACACCTGAGGTGATGATGCCCAGCAGCATGTTTCTGCCAGCAGCCACTCCAGAGAAAGATGGGAACTCCACCACCGAGGAGCTGGGGAAGCAGCCTGGTGAGTGCGGGTCAGTGAGGTCCCACCAGTCCCCCAGCTCCTGTCACCTGGCTGGGGACTGCGTCTAGGGACATCTCGTGGGCAATCTCCACATACCCAGCTATGTCCTGAGGACCACAGTTGGCCAGCACACGGCAGAGCAGTCTTCCCTTACCTGCACCACAAACAGTGCCCCCGGTGTCTCTGCAGGGGGGCAGAGCTGATGAGCACAGCTCTCACACCATTGCAATTCACATGGAAATTGTGGAAATTCTCCTTGCAAAGGAGAAGACCAGATGGGAGCAGCAAAAAAGAGACGTGGTAAGAGGGCTTAGAGAATTGGTAGAGAAACCACAAGGGTTGCTGCTGCTGGCCACAGACTGTACTAACACCTCTGCTGCCATCATAGCTCAAGTACGTACACTGGGGAGGTTTCAGCAGCTGCAGTGCTTATCCAGCCCAAACCTCCTCTGCCTTGTTCATTGCCATGCTGTGTTATGAAGGCATGGATGTAAATCAATGGCTGTTTAGTCCTGGCTTTGTAGTGTGATGTGAGAACATCCCAAGAACGTCATTCTGCACGAGCAGAAGTGTCTGATCTTAAACTCAGCAGGGAAACAATGTTGGTCTTCCTTCCGTGCCCTTCTGGAAAGTCTGTAGGGAATGTGGTAATGAAGACAACCATTGCTTCCTTTCAGGCAGACAGCCCCTAGGCAGTGATGCTGGTGGGACAGCACTGGCATAGGCAGGAAAGGTAGTGCTTTACTGGACACGGGGATCCCCTCTTTGGCCTCCACCCTTACCACACTCTTCTGGCAGAACTGTGCTGTTAGGCCCCAGAAAAGCGGCAGTGCACTGAGTGCTTGTTCTTTCTTCTCCCTTCCTCCCTCAAACAACTTCCTTTGAACTGCTGCTAGCAGGACCTGAATTTCATTCCTGTTTTTAGCTTTGTTGGGATCAAGACTCAAATATTATGTTTGGTTGGAGAAATCTTGCTGGAAATTAGGCAGGATATCAAAGAAAAACAGCAAAGACAGATAGGTGGCTGGACAGCCTTTGCTTAAAAGGGAGAATTAAAGGTGAGAAATGTAGTAAGGGAATGTGTATGTGTGAATGATTCTCAGATACTCAAAGTGAACAAGAAAGTAAATTGTGTAGGTTTATGTAATGGGCCATGATGAGGGTTAATGGGCTGGTATTAAAATAAATGAGTGAAGGTAGAGGAGAAATGTTGGAAATACCTATTTGTCTTGCAGAGAGAAAAAAACTGACCTAGTTGGGGCAAAAATTGGTGTTGATCAGCCCTTGTGCACTGGTGTAATTTCCAGTTTTGTTGTGGTTTTGTTTTCACAGAGATCTCTGAGGACTCAGGAAAGAGCGTTTTGCCATCAGAAGGTGCTGAGCACAGCAGCGATCCCAAACCTGTTGCAGCTGATCAGAGCTCTGCCCGGGACGACTCCGGTTTCCTCTGCTGGAAGAAGGGGTGCAACCAGGTGTTCAAGAGCTCAGCAGCCCTGCAGACACATTTCAATGAAGTTCACGCAAAGCGGCCGCAGCTGCCAGTGTCTGATCGCCACGTCTACAAGTACCGTTGCAACCAGTGCAGCCTGGCATTCAAAACCATCGAGAAGCTGCAGCTCCACTCGCAGTACCATGTTATCCGAGCGGCCACCATGTGCTGCCTCTGCCAGCGCAGCTTCCGAACCTTCCAGGCCTTGAAGAAGCACTTGGAAACCAGCCATCTGGAGCTGAGTGAGGCTGACATTCAGCAGCTGTATGGTGGTCTTTTGGTCAACGGGGACCTTCTTGCTATGGGCGATCCTTCGCTTGCAGAAGACCACACTATAATAGTTGAGGAAGATAAGGAGGAAGAGAGCGACTTGGAAGATAAGCAGAGCCCAACAGGTAGTGATTCGGGGTCAGTACAAGAGGACTCTGGCTCAGAACCAAAACGAGCCTTACCCTTCAGGAAGGGCCCTAACTTCACTATGGAGAAATTCTTAGATCCATCTCGCCCTTACAAATGCACAGTCTGCAAGGAATCTTTCACGCAAAAGAACATTCTCCTGGTCCATTACAATTCAGTTTCTCATCTGCATAAACTGAAAAGAGCCCTCCAAGAGTCTGCTACTGGGCAGCCTGAACCTACTAGCAGCCCAGACAACAAACCCTTTAAGTGTAACACCTGTAACGTGGCCTACAGCCAGAGCTCTACCTTGGAGATCCACATGAGGTCTGTCCTGCACCAAACCAAGGCTCGCGCTGCCAAGCTAGAGGCAGCTGGGGGCAGTGGCAGTAGTAACGGAGCTGGCAATAGCAGCAGCAGCAGTCTCTCTTTGGGTTCATCCACACCAAGCCCAGTGAGCACTAACAACAATAACACTTTCACAACTACCAACACAAGTAATTCGGGCACAACTCCCATTCCCAGCCTGCTCAACCAGGTATCCAGCGACAGCTTGGGAATTGCTCCCATAGGTAACCCCGTTAGCACTAGTATCTCCTCCCCTTCTGAGCCCAAAGAGGTAAACCGAAAGAAGCTGGCAGACATGATTGCATCCAGGCAGCAGCAGCAGCAGCAGCAGCAGCAGCAACAGCAACAGCAGCAGCAGCAGCAGCAACAGCAGCAGCAACAAGCTCAGACCTTGGCACAGGCCCAGGCTCAAGTCCAGGCGCACCTGCAACAAGAACTGCAGCAACAAGCTGCTCTCCTGCAATCTCAGCTATTCAACCCAGCACTTTTGCCGCACTTTCCAATGACCACTGAGACCCTTCTGCAGCTTCAACAACAGCAGCATCTTCTGTTTCCTTTCTACATCCCCAGTGCCGAGTTCCAGCTCAATCCAGAAGTCAGCTTGCCTGTCACCAGTGGTGCTCTAACACTGACTGGCACAGGTCCGAGTTTGCTGGAGGACCTGAAGGCCCAAGTTCAGCTCCCTCAGCAGAGCCATCCACAGCTCTTACAACAGCAGCAAGGTCAGCTGTCCTTGTCACAACCTCATGTCCTTATACAGCAGAGCCAGCACCCAGAGAAGAAGAATAAATCTGTAGTGAAGGAGAAAGAAAAAGAAACCCCACGGGAAAGGGAAAGTGCAGAGAGGGGAGACAATAATGCAGCATCTAAGGAGTCTTTGCCTGATAACTTAAAGCCCAAAGACAAGAAGGACTTTGTACCAGGCAGCAATTCGGAGCCCTCTTTACTGCCTCCACGTATTGCATCTGATGCAAGAGGGAATGCCACAAAAGCCTTGCTAGAAAATTTTGGCTTTGAGCTTGTCATTCAGTATAATGAAAACAAGCAGAAGGTGCAGAAGAAAAATGGGAAGACAGAGCAAGGTGAGAACTTGGAAAAGCTAGAGTGTGATACATGTGGCAAGTTCTTTTCAAATATCCTCATCCTGAAGAGCCACCAAGAGCATGTTCACCAACATTACTTTCCCTTTAAGCAGTTAGAGAGATTTGCCAAACAGTACAGAGAACACTATGACAAACTGTACCCGCTGCGGCCTCAGACCCCAGAGCCACCACCACCACCTCCACCGCCCCCACCTCCACTCCCTCCAGCACCTCCTCAGCCAGCTTCTACTCCTACCATTCCTACTTCTGCCCCACCAATTACCTCTCCTACGATTGCACCAGCCCAGCCATCTGTGCCACTCACTCAGCTCTCCATGCCAATGGAGCTCCCCATCTTTTCACCACTTATGATGCAAACCATGCCACTACAAACATTACCTGCTCAGCTGCCACCCCAGCTTGGTCCTGTAGACCCTCTGCCTGCAGACTTGGCCCAGTTATACCAGCATCAGCTCAACCCCAGCCTTCTCCAGCAGCAGCAGAACAAGAGGCCACGGACACGAATCACTGATGACCAGCTCAGAGTTCTTCGGCAGTATTTTGATATTAACAATTCCCCAAGTGAGGAACAGATCAAAGAGATGGCGGACAAATCTGGGTTACCCCAGAAAGTGATCAAGCACTGGTTTAGAAACACTCTTTTCAAAGAACGCCAGCGCAACAAGGATTCCCCGTACAATTTCAGTAATCCTCCCATTACCAGCCTGGAAGAGCTGAAGATCGACTCACGGCCTCCTTCTCCAGAACCTCAAAAGCAGGAGTACTGGGGAAGCAAGCGATCCTCCCGGACACGCTTTACTGACTACCAACTCAGAGTCCTGCAGGACTTCTTTGATGCCAATGCTTATCCAAAGGATGATGAATTTGAGCAGCTTTCTAACTTGCTGAACCTGCCAACACGTGTCATAGTGGTGTGGTTCCAGAATGCCCGTCAAAAGGCTAGGAAAAACTATGAGAATCAGGGAGAAGGCAAAGATGGAGAACGGCGGGAGCTCACAAATGACAGATACATTAGAACAAGCAACTTGAACTACCAATGTAAAAAGTGCAGCCTAGTTTTTCAGCGCATTTTTGATCTCATTAAACACCAGAAAAAGCTTTGTTACAAAGATGAGGATGAAGACGGACAGGATGATAGCCAGAATGAAGACTCTATGGATGCAATGGAGCTCTTGACTCCAACCAGTTCCTCCTGCAGCACACCAATGCCCTCACAAGCTTACAGCACACCTACATCTTCAGCTAATGCAACCTCCTCAGCTTTTCTGCAGCTCACAGCAGAGGCAGACGATTCCTCCACCTATAGCTCTAAAGTAGAAGCTACAGATGAGAAACCAAAGCAGTCTGAACCTCCAAGTACACAGCAAAACCAAACTCAAGAGAAGCAAGTGCAACCAAAGCAAGAGTCTCAGCAGCAACAGGACCAAGGAGAACAAAAGACAAATTCAGCACACCAAAAGATTTCACAGTTATCCTCCCCCTCTTCATTACAACAGCCACCTCCCCCTCCTCAGCCCCCTCAGTGTTCTTTGTCACAGTCGAGCCCAAGTCCATCTCAGCTGTCACATCTCTCCCTCAAACCCATCCACACATCCACCCCTCAACAGCTGGCAAACCTACCTCCTCAGCTAATCCCATACCAGTGTGACCAGTGTAAGCTGGCATTTCCTTCCTTTGAGCATTGGCAGGAGCATCAGCAGCTTCATTTTCTGAGTGCACAAAACCAGTTTATTCACCCCCCGTTCCTGGACAGAACGCTGGATATGCCTTTCATGCTTTTTGATCCCAGTAATCCACTACTTGCGAGCCAGCTGCTATCTGGTACATTACCACAGATTCCAGCAAGCTCCGCTACTTCTCCATCAACTCCAACATCCACAATGAACACACTGAAGAGAAAGCTGGAGGAAAAGGCCAGCGCAAGCCCTGGAGAAAATGACAGTGGGACTGGAGGAGAAGAACCTCAAAGGGATAAACGTCTAAGGACAACAATTACCCCAGAGCAGCTGGAAATTCTTTATCAGAAATACTTGCTAGACTCCAACCCAACACGGAAAATGTTGGATCACATTGCACATGAAGTGGGCTTGAAGAAACGTGTTGTGCAAGTTTGGTTTCAGAACACCCGTGCGCGGGAAAGGAAGGGACAGTTCAGAGCTGTAGGGCCTGCCCAAGCCCATAGACGTTGTCCATTCTGCAGGGCTCTCTTTAAAGCAAAGACAGCTCTTGAAGCTCACATCCGATCCCGCCACTGGCATGAGGCCAAGAGAGCCGGATACAACTTGACGCTGTCTGCTATGCTCTTAGATTGCGATGGGGGACTCCAGATGAAGGGAGACATCTTTGATGGAGCAAGCTTTTCCCACATGCCACCAACTAGTAGTGATGGTCAGAGTGTTCCTCTCTCCCCAGTGAACAAGAGCATGGAACTGTCACCTCGGACTCTGCTGAGTCCATCCTCCATCAAGGTGGAAGGGATAGAAGACTTTGAGAGTCCCTCCATGTCCTCGGTCAACCTGAGCTTTGACCAGACAAAGCTGGACAATGATGACTGCTCTTCTGTCAACACTGCAATCACAGACACTACAACAGGAGATGAAGGGAATGCAGACAACGATAGCGCAACAGGGATTGCAACTGAAACCAAATCTGCATCAGGACCCAGTGAAGGTCTCACAAAAGCTGCCATGATAGCAATGTCTGAATATGAAGATCGTCTGTCTTCTGGCCTGGTCAGCCCAGCTCCCAGCTTTTACAGCAAAGAGTACGATAATGAAGGTACTGTGGACTATAGTGAAACATCCAGCCTTGCAGATCCCTGCTCTCCCAGCCCTGGTGCAAGTGGTTCAGCCAGCAAGTCTGGGGAGAGTGGGGATCGGCCCGGACAGAAACGCTTTCGCACTCAGATGACTAATCTCCAGCTAAAAGTTCTTAAGTCGTGCTTTAATGACTACAGGACACCTACCATGCTGGAGTGTGAGGTCTTGGGCAATGACATTGGACTGCCAAAGAGAGTTGTTCAGGTCTGGTTCCAAAATGCTCGGGCAAAGGAGAAGAAGTCCAAACTCAGCATGGCCAAGCATTTTGGTATAAACCAAACAAGTTATGAGGGACCCAAAACAGAGTGCACTTTGTGTGGCATCAAGTACAGCGCTCGACTGTCTGTACGTGACCATATCTTCTCTCAACAGCATATCTCCAAAGTTAAAGAAACCATTGGAAGCCAGTTGGATAAGGAAAAGGAGTATTTTGACCCTGCTACTGTACGTCAGTTGATGGCTCAGCAGGAGCTGGACCGGATCAAAAAAGCCAATGAGGTTCTTGGTCTGGCAGCTCAACAGCAGGGCATGTTTGATAACACCCCTCTGCAAGCTCTTAACCTTCCTGCTGCGTACCCAGCACTACAGGGCATCCCTCCAGTCTTGCTCCCAGGCCTCAACAGCCCATCCTTACCAGGCTTCACTCCATCCAACACAGGTGGGTATGGATGTTATCACACTACCCAGAAACACAGCTTAACCTGATGCATCTTTAGCACAAGTGGACGTTCCCTTCAGAGTGACCAGTAATAGGATACTTGGCCCTTTAGTTAAGCATGTTTACGTGAGAGCAAATAGGCATCAGGTGTTTTATCTTTAATTCCTGAATTCATTTTTCTAGCAAAATCTGAAATAAAGCAATGTTGCATATCTATGTTTTGCTAGCACAGACTTAAAATTCTGATGCACTTTCAAGGAAATGGAAAATAGAGGATTTATCAAATAGAACATGAAAAGGACTAATATACTGAATGCATTGTTCATTATATCTTTCCTTTTGATATTAAATTCAGTTTATGCAATGCCATCACAAGTTTTCAGTAATTCTGAACTGTTTCCAGGGAAAATGTAATGTGCCTGGTAGTAGTGGTGACAGAATCTGGAGCATCTTTATGTAATGCCCTTATAGTGAACTCCAGGACAAATCCTGATGGGGTGGTGGGTTGTTTTTGAGCTATGAGCTGGGAACTGTCTGAAAATACCTTCCCAACCAAAAACAGCGTAGTTGTAGGATAAATCTAATTTGTGTTTTAGTAGGATATTTCTTAACAATACTACATAACAATGAAATTTGGCATAGTCCTTTGGATGGCCTAATTCCACATATTGGATGCTCTTTTCCCTTGTACCTGATGGCGGGCTGGAAAGCATACGATGTGTAGCAAATACTATCAGTAGAAGGTACTATTCAGTACACTAGACCTAGAAAAGTTGATTCAAGGATTATTTCACCCCTGCTGCATCTGTGGCATCCCAAGGATATGCTTGCATCTGAATTGCAACTCGTGACAGAGCTAATTGGTGTTCTCTAGCAGACCTGCTTTCAGTTGGCAGACTTCTCTGTTTACTTGATGATACCTGTTCAAGTTGCCTCTCACCAGGGCCACTCTGCATTTGCAAAGATATCCCAAGAACTGATTCTAGTGTCCTGTCTCAGCAACAGGCTGAGTCTGTCTCAGATGGAAAATGCCGTCGTGCCTGGTCCTGCTACAGCATATGCCAGTATGCCCCTTTGTTTTCTATACTGCACTGATACTGCTGTAACACCATTAGGCTGTGTCCAGAAACAATAACTTTCTCTAAGTGTACTGAACTAATTGGCTAATGATAAGTTATAATCCTTGGTATAAAGTATAAATATTATCTAAGCATCTTCCTGGCTTCTTATTCAGAAACTGGAGTGATAGCAGTCTTCAAAAAGACTTTCTGATGCTTTTTGTCAGCAGGCCATTTTGTAAGTTCTTTTTTCAACAGATAGAAGAACTGAGTGCTGATGCTGCCAGGTAACATGATAGTGTCATATTAATCGAATTGCCTCCTTCATTTGTCATGCAGGAGGTAAATCTTCGGATAAGCAAATCAAAATCTTAGTTAAAAAAAACAGCTGGCTTGAGCAGTTAGGTGGAACTTGGAACAGCTTATCTGACATTTGCAAGGGAGGCTGGTTGCAGAGTTGTTCGGTATAAATCACATCACTAGAACCTGAAGTTAGTATGTTGTTGCAATGGCATTGGGTATAATATCCTAAAGAGAGCATTAAAGACCCATGACTCAAGTCAGGCATCCTTCTATCCCCTGGGAAATGGCTCTGTTCACCTTTTTCTCCACAACTATTCATCTCTGAAGTATCTTCCGCTGGCAAATGGACAAGAGTTGGGTTCTGGTCTTTCCAAATATGATCCATACTCTTGGAGTCAAGATCCTTCTCTCCCCTGGAGCAGCATGGGGATTACATTGTAGTGTGGTTGCTGGTGTTCATGTCAGAAGCAGAAGAGATCAGAGTAAGTTCATCTAGAAAAGTTTTCTACTAGGAGTTAGGGCCTCTGCAAGGCTTTTTTGCATAGTTACAGAATTCCTTCCACCCCCACCCCACCCCGAGTAGATAAAATAGTTCCTGACAATGGGTGTAGGACAGTCCATTGTAATTAAGCCATCTTTAAAAACAGTTGCTGTGAGATACTCTTCTGTCTGGGGCTGCGGCCCATTCCTGCTCCCTGAGTGTAGTCTTAGGCATGTGCCTGATGGGGATCTTTGTGCCAGGACATTTTCATGCTATTTCTTTCCAACAGATCTTGGTTCAGTGGCCAGAAGTAAGCCAAAATGATTTCTTTGGCAAATTACATTGTCAGCCTATCACAGATCAGCTCTATGCTCTTTACTTAGTACCCCAAGTTTATAACAAGATCTAAAATTACTTTTTTGTGCTTCAATATATATGTTGCCTTTATTTTTCTCCAAAGATCAGTATGTGTCTTGGGGAGATGAGGCTACATACTATGAATGTTGAGAGTAATCAGTGACTGCCTAGGCAGGACTAAGCTATTTAGAAAGTCAAACAGACTATTTGTGGCCTTTAGATAAAGCTCCAAAGGTCAGGCCATCTCAGCTCAAAGCCTGTCGAAACAGATAAGGCTGTGCATCCAGGAATGTTATGAATTAGCTGCTGCTCCTGTGCTTGAACCTCTCAGGGACTGTTCAACTAGGGAACATCAGTTTCAATGGCATCTATCCATAATATCCCCTTATCTGAAATCTATAAGGCTGCTGCGTCGAGGCTCACTTCATACCTTTACAAATCACTATTGTCTCAATACAGCATCAAGAGCAGTTGCAGGTCTCAGAAGGGCTTTGCTTCAGTCATCACTGAATTCTCCAGGGCTCTTATCCTGCCTCTTCCTCAAGCCCTGCTGCTCGCTTCCTTTACCAGGCTGTCCTCTGCAGAGCCACATCAGTTTTGTCCAGCTCTGCATGCAGGTCTCCAAAGCCAGGGGGTGAATGCAACACCATAGCCAAATGAACTGTTTATACTAGGGTGTAGTGCAGCCGGGATTTGGAGACTGCTGTGCCCCACTTTGCTGCCAACTGCTACTCAAAATACGATGCTGCAAGAAGGTTGTTCCTTTGCTGTATTCCGAGCAGTACAAATTCAGTGACACCCATGGTTACTGAATGAGCTATATTCCAGGAAAGGAATGAAGTTTGATCTAAAGAGAACGAGCCCAGGGGACTGGGATAACTCCACTGTACAGGGGACAACAGCTAGAAAGTCTGGCTGAACTTACACAAGAAAGCCAGGTGCATTGTTTGTGTTGAGTAAGTTTCTTCAGGACATTTGCATCTGTTCAGCTGTCTGTGATACGTGGAGGTTTTCTCTCTTTGGTTTACAGAATCACAGAATAAATCAGGTTGAAAAGAACCTCTGGAGGTCACCTGGTCCAAACACCCTGCTCAGGCAGGGCCACCTAGAGCAGGTTGTGAATTACTGACCCATTTTCGAAAAGGCAGTATTTTCTGGTTTGCTGTCACCCTGCACCTGTGCATCACAAGAGAGACGTGTTTGGGCTGCCTTGCTTCCAGCCACAGGAAGGGAAAGTGGGCACCCAGAGCGGCAGCTTGCCGGGGAAGCCCAGCTGCTTCTCCAGGAGCCACCTGGGTTCCCACACGCCAGCCCCCTGCCCCGGGTGCCTCCGCTCTCAGCACCAGCTCTCACCCAGCAGCCCTTCTCCAAAGCTCCTTCTACCCTTGAGCCACCTCAGGCTCCTCATCAGCCTTCCCACACATCCGCTTTGTTCCCTCACCAAATGCCCTCAGCTGCCCCAGCCCTGAGGTCACTCGGGTGTCCCTCTGCCATCTGCAGGGGGAAAACAGCCCCGTGGCTGCCGGCTGCTCTCGCCCTGAGCCGCGGGAGCTCCTCAGCAGCTCGCCACTGGTGGGTCATGGCAGATGTCTGTCCGTCTGTCCTCACCCGATAAGGGGCTGTGCAAGGATCTGGAGTACCGAGGGGCACATCAGGCTTTATCCATGGTAGCTCTTTGTAGGACATCTCCTTAGCCAGTGTTTTCCAACTAGAGAGCAGTTGATTTTGCCAAGCATTAGGAGCACACAGAAGTTGGCAGCTGCGGCTCTTCCCTGGGGAAGAGCAAGCTGATAAACTAGGAGAGAACAGGATGAGGAACACATCCCTTTTCTGCACCCCTCTGGCATTCCCCACCTCCCTCCTTTCCATTTCCCCTGCCCTACTCCTTCGCATACATGTTAAGTATTTTCATAATCCAGCACTAACTAGGTTATGTGAAATGGCAGATGGTAACACCACCTCACCCGAAGCAGCACGGGCAGCCGGCACTGCATGGCCGTGGGTGACAGGGCTGACGGGCACCGGGGGGTGTGGGCATCCCCGTGCCCAGGGAAAGCGGGGCTGGCGCCCAGGCGCCCCAACATGAGCCGTGCAGCACGGGGCTGGTGTCACTGTCCCTGCCACAGTCACTGGAGAAGGGCGTGCAGGGGCACTCGTGGGGTGCCCTGGGGTCACCCTGCTTCGTGCTTGCCACCTGCCCTGCACTGACTCCTCACCTCTCTCTCCTCCCTCTTGCAGCTTTAACTTCTCCCAAACCCAACCTGATGGGCCTACCCAGCACAAGCGTCCCTTCGCCCGGACTCCCCACCTCTGGATTACCAAATAAGCAGCCCCCGGCCGCTCTGAGCTCGCCCACTCCGGCACAAGCCACGGCGGCCGTGGCCCCGCAGCAGCCGCCGGCAACAACCCCACAGCCGCAGCAGCAGCAGCCGCCCCCGCCGCAGCGCAAGGAGAAGGAGAGCGAGAAGGCAAAAGAGAAGGAAAAGGCACCCAAGGGGAAGGGGGACCCCCTGCCGGGGCCCAAGAAGGAGAAGGGGGAGGCGCCGGCAGGTGCCCTCTCGGCCCCGCTGCCTGCCATGGAGTATGCGGTGGAGCCTGCCCAGCTGCAGGCACTGCAGGCCGCCCTGAATTCGGACCCCACCACCTTGCTGACGAGCCAGTTCCTGCCCTACTTCGTCCCCGGGTTTTCCCCCTACTACGCCCCGCAGATCCCTGGCGCCCTGCAGAGCGGGTACCTGCAGCCCATGTACGGGATGGAGGGGCTCTTCCCCTACAGCCCTGCACTGTCGCAGGCGCTGCTGGGGCTGTCCCCCGGCTCCCTGCTGCAGCAGTACCAGCAATACCAGCAGAGTCTGCAGGAGGCATTGCAGCAGCAGCAGCGGCAAGCGCAGCAGCAGCAGCAGCAGCAGCAGCAGCAGCAGCAGCAGCAGCAGCAGCAGCAGAAAGCGCAGCAGCCCAAAGGAAGCCAAACCCCCGTCCCCACGGGGGCTGCCACCCCGGACAAAGACCCTGCCAAAGAACCCCCCAAGCAAGAAGAGCAGAAGAATGCACCCCGCGAGGTGTCCCCCCTCCTGCCCAAACCCCCAGAAGAGCCCGAAGCGGAAGGCAAGGGCGCGGACTCCCTCTGCGACCCCTTCATCGTCCCGAAGGTGCAGTACAAGCTGGTCTGCCGCAAGTGCCAGGCGGGCTTCGGCGACCAGGAGGCGGCCAGCGACCACCTGAAGTCCCTCTGCTTCTTCGGCCAGTCCATGGCGAACCTGCAAGAGATGGTGCTTCACGTGCCCACCGGCAGCGGCCAGGGCAGCGGCTCGTACCAGTGCGTGGCGTGCGAGAGCACGGTGTGTGGGGACGAAGCCCTCAGTCAGCATCTCGAGTCAGCCCCGCACAAACACCGAACAATCACAAGAGCAGCAAGAAACGCCAAAGAGCACCCCAGTCTATTACCTCACTCTGCCTGCCCCCCCGACCCCAGCACCGCATCTACCTCGCAGTCGGCCGCTCACTCAAACGACAGCCCCCCGCCCCCCCGGCCTCCCCCGGCTTCCCCCCACGCCTCCAGAAAGCCCTGGCCCCCGGCAGCCCCCCGCGCCCCGCCGGGGAAGCCGCCGCCGCCGCCTTTCCCTCCTCTCTCCTCATCTTCAACGGTTACCTCAAGTTCATGCAGCACCTCAGGGGTTCAGCCCTCGATGCCAACAGACGACTATTCGGAGGAGTCTGACACGGATCTTAGCCAAAAGTCAGATGGACCGGCGAGCCCGGCGGAGGGGCCCCGGGACCCCGGCTGCCCTAAGGACAGTGGTCTAGCTAGCGTAGGAATGGACACCTTCAGATTGTAAGCTTTGAAGATGAACAATGAAAATTTAAATAAAAAAGTTAATAACAAACCAATTTCAAAAATAGACTAACTGCAATTCCAAAGCTTCTAACCAAAAAAAGAAAAAAGAAAAAAGAAAAAGCGTGGGTTGTTTTCCCATATAACGATGCCGGTGGGTTTTACATTTCTTTTTTCCTTTCCTTTTAATAAAATAAAACTTAAAAAAAAAAAAAATCTGTTACATTTGTCCTTTCGAAGGTACTGTTGGTCTGGGAGACGAAAGCCCGTGCTGCCTCCTTACTGTCTTCGGAGCTTAAGCCCCTTGTATATTGCCCCTTTTCAATAACGCCCCACGTCGATAGCACAGCAGAGGCCGGCATGCACTGTATGGGAAAGCAGCCCACCTTGTTACAGTTTTAAATTTCTTGCTATCTTAGCATTCAGATACCAATGGCTTGCTAAAAGAAAAAAGAAATGTAATGTCTTTTTATTCTCAGGTCAATCGCTCACACTTTGTTCTGTTTTCAGAATCATTGTTTTATATATATATATATAATTTCTTTTGTTTGTTTTTGGGTTTTTTGTTTTGTTTCGTTTTCGTTCCAGAAAAGGTTGGGTTTTTTGTTTTTGTTTTCTTTTTTTTTTTTTTTGTTCGTTTGTTTGTTTTTTTGTTAATTTAAAATGGGCAGAAAGTATTCAAGAGAAAATCAATGTGAACTGCTTTAGCTTTTCGGGGATTCTAAGGGTAGCTTTTCTGCTGAAGCCAATTTCAAGGGGAAAAGTTAAGCACTCCCACTTTTCAGAAAAAAATAAACCACAAAGAGTGTTGAGGACTCGGAGCTTAAAAAAATAAGTTTTAAAACAACTGACTTTCTGTATTTATGATAGATATGACCATTTTTGGTGTTGAGTAGATTGTTGCATTGGAAATGAACTGAAGCAGTATGGTAGATTTAAAAGAAAAAACCCTTTTGTGTACATTTAGCTTTTGTATGGTCCAGCTGACGGCTTCTCATTTGATGTTGTCTTGTTCATTCCTAGCCAGATAGATTGCAATCCATTGACTCGCCTAAGCTTTTCTCCCCTTTGTACCTTTACTCCCCGTTTTCCCCATCCTGTAATCTTCCACTTATGGTTGCTACCTTCATTTCTTAGAGGGTGGTTGCATAATTATTTTATAAAAACTAAAGAAAGAAGTTCAAAGGGTTTTGGGGGGTCAGTAGGATCCCTTGCAGAATATTTTTTGTTGGGGGTTTGAAACTTTTTAAGGCGTATACATACAATTTACCTATGTCTGTTACCCTTGTGCACTTATCTCTTTCTTATTTTCCATTTTTCCTGTTTTGTTTTTTTTTTCCTCTTCTTTTCCTCATTTTGTAAATGCTTCAAAGACTCTGTTCCTAACTATAAGCATTTGTTTCTGTTTGTGTAATTAGGCTGCACTCTGTTCCTTCTTTTGAAAAAAAGAAAAAAAAAAGTTTTTGTTACATTTTTTTTCTCTAAAGAAAATTCATGCTTTAAATAAAATCCAAAGACATACCCTTTCACCACTGGTGCAGAATGAGCAAAAAGGATTCTTTTTACTTGAGAATTTGTTTCTGATTTAAACAAACAAGTCTAAGTTTAAATAAAGAATAAAAAAAGTACCCAGGTTGTTATCTGTGCTTCTTCTGCAAGCAGAGAGACAACTCTTAATGAAAATCCAGCATACCAAAAGGCAGGTTTCAGTTCTGAAGTTGTGTCCCTGTGCTAGGCAGCCTGAGCAGTGAGTGCCCAGAGACGCAGCTAGCGATGCACAGAAAGAGGCTCTCTGTGAGGCGTTTGTGCTTACGTTGATCTCTGTGCTCCTGTTTGTGGAAAACACGCCGACATACACGCACACACGCACGCACGCACTCACACGTCTTTTGTGGTCTGGACTTTGAAAGGAAAACTTTGTGCTGCTAAAATGTAGATTCTGGAGACAAATAGATGCTTGCTTTCACTTCCGTAGCCAAATGTCAACAGAAACGGTCTCCTTTCCCCCCCGTTTCCTCTTCCCCGAAAGTGTGAGAGCCTTCTCCCTGTCATCCTCATCCTCCTCCTGCTTCAAAGGGAACTTCGAAGACTGTGAACGCAGGTTCCTCCCGCCGCCTTCGGGCTTCTCCTCCCAGGGCTGAAGCCGCTCATCGACTCTGCAAGAGACTGGAGCATCCTGAGAGACGAACGTGGGTTTCATTTTTTAGCGGGACTCTTTTATTTTTACAGATTTTTGGTTTTAGTTTGATGAAAGACTAGATCCTGAACTGTTGTACATATTTCTAACTAGGCTAATGCACAGTGCAAATTCCTTTTTTAATTGTTTTTTAAGTAGACGATACTAAAGAGAGTACCATCTAATATTCCTACCAGTATCCAGTTGTAGCATAAGGTGTCAAAAATGAAAACAAGTACACAAAATGCGTTTGCTGTTTTAACAAACTGTTTTCTTTTAACAAAAGTTCTTGTATTTCTCCCCGTGTTTGAGATGAACATTTTTTAAATTCTAAAGTTGTACAGTTTTGTTTTTCCATTATTTTATCTTGTTTGTAATTCTATGAAATATATATATATATATATTTTTTGCCATTTAACTGTTGTATGTTACTCTGTCTGTATCATATAGAAATTTTTCTGTTTGTTCTGTTTTTTGATTATGTGATACAAGTTAACAATTTAACACTAGCTTTATCTGTCAAATTCTGCGAGGTCTCTTTGAAATCCTTTTGTTTTGTTGGTTTTGTTTTGTTTTTGTTTTTTTAATTATATTGCTTGGTCATAGTGCAATTTCCCTCTCCTTCTTCCCCCTCCTCCTTCCCACCCACTAAAAGGTTTTATAAATTCATTTCCTTGTATTTTTTGTAAATGTTTCTAGAGACTTCCAGTGCGAGGTTGCCTCCTCCTCTCGCAGTCCCCGCGCTATGGGGTGGGATGGCCGCGGGATGCGCCGTTCCCGGCTGCCCGAGGCCGACGGCTGGGACTGGACGCCCCCCGCCCGGCGGCCCCATGGGACCCCGCGTCCCAGCCCCGCGCCCGCAGAGCCACGGTGGGAGCAGGGGCGGCCCCGCGGAGCCTTTTTGAGATCTGCCCTTGTCAGCTAAGGTCGGAAGGCCAGGGGCCGGGCAGAGCGGGGCAAGCAGGGCATGAGGAAAAGATTTTAAACTTAGCATTGAGCGGGTTTCTGTTTTATTTTTAATAAAAAGCTTTTTTAAGTGGTGAAGATGGCCAAAGTTTCATACAACTGAGAATAAAGTAAGGCGTAAGGCGTGTTGGGGCCACCCGCGCCCGCTGGGCAGGCGGGGCGGGAGCTGGCGAGGGAGGCACCGGCACGGCCAGCACACTCGGTGTTCGTGGAAATATATTTTGCTTTAGAAAAAAAAAAAAAACTTTTAAATAGAAGCAGAAATTGGGTTGGTTGGTTGGTTGGTTGGTTGGCTGGTTGGTTGGTTGGTTGGTTGGTTTATTGGCGCTGAGATACTGCCCACTGTGAATCACAAAGCTTTGACTATTTTTTTTGTTTTTATTTCTGGGGGGCGAGTTTGGGTAGAACAGAAAGCATAAATGAGGTGAAGAGGGATATGAACAGCCTTTGCAATGTACAAAAAATAGAGCAAGTGAAACCAAAAATGATGTTCTTGGTGTTTTTCTATAATGTAGTCTTGTTAGCTTTTTTTGTTACTGTAACAATGCTGATCTCGAACTGTACCAAAATACATGGAGACTAACAGAAACAGAAACCACATGGAACTTTCAAAACTTTAAAAAGATTTGTCACAAAAGACTTTGTTGTCATAGTTGAGTTGACTGTAGATGGTAATTGAATATACTCCTTTGGAAATATTTCATCACGTATGTTTCCTGCTCATTGTGATACATTAAAAAAAAAAAAAAAAAATGAGCAAAAGCTCTCGTCTCCAATGTCCCCGCTTGTGCGGTGCAGGGTCTGCGTCGGGTGGGTGAGCGGCGCGCGGCACGGCGGGACTCGTGCGTCCACCTGAGGCCGCGCACCCACGCCGACAGGCGGGTGCTCGCACGGAGCCGTGTGTACGTGTGCACAAGCCCTCGTGCCGTGCCGGTACATGCACAGGCACACGCGCATCCGCTTTCTCCCCGAAGCACCTGGGTGTCCGAGGGCCCGCCAGTGTGGAAGTGCTTGGGCTGATGCTGTGAATTAATGCGAACATGGAAGTAATGAGCCAAATAGCGCAATTCATATTATGGCTTTGGGATGCATTGTGTATGAAAAAGACATTATAAGTGCATTCAATTTTACTAAATGATTGTGTAAGAATTCTGGGCATACTGCTGTAATTAATGGTTAAAGGGAAAGCATGATGCCCGTAGGAGTTGAGGTCATCTTGAAACCTGTAGACTAGAAGTGAACTAGAATCACCATCTGTCCTCTTCTACCGATTAAACCAAAAGGAGACGAAGGTAAGAAAGGTGAGTAGCTGATTCACTGCTCCTACCTTTGCTTGTGGTACCTCTATCTCCAGAGCAGAGCTTGAGCAGGGACAAACACTTTTGAAACTGCCGACTGTTAAAAGCACATTTCTTTTACCAAAATTTGCCCCTTGCAGCAGAAAATGTTTGAAATTCATTAGTAAGGGCCACATCCAAGAGAGAGCCTCAGGGGCTACCATTCATCTCTAATTTATAACTGCAGCAATAAATAATTAAAAAAAAAAAAAAAAAACAGGTGGGATGAGAAGTGTGTTTAGTGTGGGTGTCCTTGGATGGTCTGCTGCTGCCTTCGCAGCGAGGGGCTTCCTCTGCCTGGGGGAGCGGGAGCCCGGAGCTGCAGAGTGCAGCTCAGCCAGAGCAAGGAGGTTGCAGGGAGGAAATCTTGCAGCTAGTGAGGACATGGGGGTGTTCTTTAATTAATGAGGTCAGCACATTGACTTGCAAGCCACTAAGTTCAATAATAGGGTTGCTGATGCGCCTTCATGAAAAAGAAAATGAAAAAAAAAAAATAGAGATTCAGGCACCAAAAATACATGAATTATGAAATAAAGCAGGTCAAAATTGCCAAGCCCCCAATGACTCCTAGCAGTACAGTCTAACCTAACCAAGACATCCAGGACTTAGCCCAAGCACGCAGCCCTGGGAGCAGGAGGTGCCGCTCCTCCAGGCTCTGAGAGAGCAAGAGCAAGTGCACTCGAATGCGCCCTTCAGCTCAGCACCCCAAAGCCATCAACAGCAACAAAATCATACTGACTGTGTAGTGCGCAGCCTTTGGGGCTTTTGTAGCTTTGTGTAATGGCTCAGTGTTGCTTGCACATTTTTCCTTGTCAAATAATTTCCATTCAGAAGGTCTATAGAAGAGCTTGGCTGGGTTTTCCACTAGTAAGTGTGCAGGGCTCTTTGAGGATAGCCTACGTTTCTGGCACATGGAGCTGCAGTACTTCAGGAGACACAGTCTGGCAGGCTACGTATCTATTCCACAAATCAAGTTATGAAGTGTGCATATTTGTTAGCTAGCTTCATATTTGTTAAAAAAAAAAAAAAAAAAAAAAACTTCTGAACAAAACCTAAGCATGGGAAGAGCAGGTCTGGTGTGGTACAGCCAGGCTGAATTTATTGGGATTTATCGCCTGGCTCAGAGCCCAGGTACAAAAGCATTGAGCCCAGGCATTTAGCAGTGATATGTCTGCAAACCAACAACTTCAAAGAGCAGACACTGAGCAGAGGGGGGTGTTCAGGTGCAGAGGTTCCTCCTCTCCTCCCTGCCCGAGGGAAGGCCAAGCCCCCTGACTCAGCCACAGTTTCCCATCCCTGCGGGCAGCAGCCAAGCCACTGGCACAGGGCCTGCTCCTCCCTGCCACCGGGCTGCCTGCTCCTGTCCCAGGCTTGGGTATTGCATTTCCCCTCTGCTGTGAGGTGGGGATCTGGATGGCCTCCCGGCTGATTTGTTGTGGGGTTTTTGTTTTGTTGCTGTTGTTTTCTAATGGAAAAAATCCATTCTGCATTTTCTACAAACAGATGGGACTGCAGCAGGAACGGGGTCACCAGCACTACCCTTCCACTGGTGTTTGCACTGTACCGCGTTAATGACTTCAGTGTTGTACAGAGACCTGCAGTTTTGTAAGTTTATTATGTAACATTGCTATTTATTCCTAGGTTGAATTCCAGTTAAAAACAGCTATGCTTGAGAGTGCATCTCTCTAATGCTCAGAAAGGTGTAAATGGCTAGTAGCTGCACAAGCCGCAAACTAAAAACCACTGCGAGTGCCTATCTGTTTAGAGTAGTGCATCAGCTGAAATTGTGCAAACCTCTGACAGAAATAAAAAGGTTTTTCCATGCTGTGATTCTGGTAAGAGGAGACTGGGAGTGATTTTTTTTAATAACCTTTCACTGCCATCACCTTAAAGACAAGAAAGAGACTTAGCTCTTTCTAGTACACTAAAACAGGCCCAAAGAAAAATAATAATAATAAAAGCAGAACAATGATCACTTGTGTGCTCAAGACAAAAATATTGCAGATGTGTTTTGAGCAGAGTTGCTGTCTGGAGGATGCTTCCACCTTCCAGTACAGCTTGCAGTTTGCTGTTGTTCACAGAGGAGAAGAGGGGACTTTGCCATCTGTACAGGGCTCAGCTGTGCTGGGGAAGTGGCCCAGGCAGTCCCCACCATGGACCCAGGCTCCAGGTGAGGCAGCAAGGACAAAGCTCAGTGCCACCAAGTGACAGAAGGGCTGCATTTGTAGATGTGTCTTGGACACAAAGAGGCTGATCCCAGGGACTCAAGCAAGACCAAAAGAAACCCCCAAACCCTGCAAACTCCCAGCGAGACCATGAGGAAGTGCCTGCCCTTCTGCCTTTGCTGCAGGAGCCTGGTGCATCACAGGAGCATGGGGGGGGAGGAGGACACGGATGGACAGAGAGGGACTGGCCCTGCAGCCCTCACTGTCGCAGCAGCCCACGAGCAGCATGGACACCCCCTGTCTCTCCCAAGAGCAGCAGATCTGGCCATGTCACTTCTGCAGCCAGGTCCCTGCCGAACTGAGCAGGGTCCTGCATTAACCTCTTTGCTAAATGACATGTGAAGTCTGCTAAGAAAGCTGGCTTGTCTAATGCAGACAGATGCTCTGAGAAACTGCCACCAGGCTCAGGCTGTGCCAGCAGTGGTGAAGGGTTAACTCCATCAGTACTTAAACTACAAATGTGGAGCCCATTCTCTCCTCCAAGCTCGTTAACAATGTACACCTGATGATCTAAAGCACTAGAGAGTCATTTTAATTAACGCTCTGCCAGAGGGGATGTGGTGAAGACACTGATTTCACTCCAATGACTTTCTATTTTGGTATATTGCAGAATCGGTGCATTACTTCCCCAGGCTGATGCGGTGAGCTAATCTGACGGCTGCACGGGCTCTCCCGGGGCAGCTCAGTGCCGAGGTGCTGCCACCATCCCTGGCCGAGGACGTGGCTCCCCGCCAGGCTGCACAGCACTGGCCCCAGCGGCTCATCCCTGCTGTATCCATGCTTGGTCCCTGGTGGGACAAGGCCACCCTCCCCTGCCACCAGTGGGGCGCGGGCACAGCACAGAAACTAGAGGCAAAGCCTGGGCTGGGGGCACCTGGCTGTGCCCCCATCTCCGCTGGCCACAGGCAGATGCAGCCCCCCCGAGGGAGCCCAAGCTGTGGAGGAGCTGCTGCCAGCGGAGCTCCAGCTCTCCCGCGGCCTCTGCTGTGATGGAAGAGAGACTTCACACTGCGCCCCAGAGAAAAGATAGCGGTACCTATAAATGGTATTGTGCTGTTGGTTAGATGGTAGCATGATGTTACTTAATTAATGTTTTAATACCCTAGGCATCTTCTGTGCCGTATAATTCATATCGATTCAGCTGTGAGCATGTTCAGTTAAAAAGACTCTCTTTCCTAAGCAAACTTTCAATTATATTGAATTGTCACAGCAAAAAAGGGCCTTTTCTCAGCATGGGGGAAGGGATTCACTACCAAACTGCTGCCGGCCTGGCCAGGCACACACGTGCACAAGCCCACACAGTCATGCACTCAGTGCACACCTCCCAGCCCCCTGAGCCACCAGTGCCAACTCCAGCACTGCAACACTGCCAGACGTCACCATGCCCAGTCAGCCGTGGCAATGGGGTTCCCTCCAGCCTGCGTCCAGGCAAAGCAGCCTGTCCTCTCCAGCTGCTGCTGGGCCCTGGGGAGGTCAGTCCCAGCCCTGTGCCAGAGCCTGCCACCAGCGTGGGTACGCACTCCTCTGGGATGGGGCCAGGCGAGCGCCTTGATACACAGCCACCCCTGCCAGTGCCATGGAAGCAAAATCACCAGCACCTAGCAAAGCAGTGCTTGGAGGTGCTGGCGACTTTTTAAAAAGATCTAAGTTTGCTTTCAGCAATGGAAGAATATCTTGTTATTGTGGAAAATGTCCCTGAGAGCAGAGAGACATGGCACAATGACTCGGCCACGTGTGTCCTGGCAGCTTTGTCACCAGCCCCAGCCACAATCACAGCCTGCCAGCCCCACTGAGCTCATCGTGCCCGGAATGGGGGACATGCAGGCTGCTCCCCAAACAGGCCATCCTTCTACTAGGGAGCTTTATTAAAGACTTCTATGTAGTTTTGTAAGTAACAAGGAAAAGATAAAAATTCTGTATTTTCATTACTCCTTATTTTGACAGTCCGCTGAACAAAAACACAAAGCTCATCTCCTGCTGCCCCTTGCTCCCTGGCTCTGCCTCCTTCTCCCATGGAGTTCAAATTAAAGAAGGCGAAAATTGAAGCTGTTGTACGCAAGGCGATTGCAACATGCATATTTGATTTTTATGATGGATCTAAATTGCTGAATAAGGCCGTGGAACAAAGGGAGACTGCGGCTTCCTGCCCATCACAGACAGGCAGCCACTGCAGAACAAAAGCGCCAGCCATTAG